TTATTAAGAGAAAACAGAAAATCTCTGTGTGACGAGTTCTGAGTTTGTTTGTTGATTGTTTTATTTTTGCTTCACCTCAGATGTTAAAATTCTTCCTTTATGTTCATATTTCTCTTTAAAAACCTTTATTTTGTATTCTTCTTGAGACTCTTTGTTCTGTTTTTAGATTATATCATATTTAACGTCTTTATATTTAATCTCTCCTCTCTCAGAGGAGCCTCCAACTTTAAGAATTTCACACGTCTGTCCTCTTATAACCGGAGACGGTTTATTTTAATGTATTATTCATCCTTTAGTTCATCAGAGAGGACCCTCTGACACCCCAAGGACTCTTTACCAGGAGGGCAATACAATAACACAGCGGTTCTCAACTGGTGGGTCAGGACCCAGAAATGGGTCTCGGAGATGTTTTCAGAAGGTGTGCCCGGAAGAAGAATTCTACAAAGTGCTTTTTTAAAACAGGATTGTTTCGTTCAGTTTCTTTGTGCTTTTTACAGTCCGAGGAAAGACTGCACGATTACTTTATTTAATGAAATCTGATTGGTTGAAAAAGATCAGAAGTTGGTGGAGGGTCCTGAGGCTTGCCCCGAGAAGCACAATAAACATTGTGAGTCTTGTTTTTTTGTTTTTTTTTGTGTCAAGAGAGAAAAAATTTAAATCAATAAATATGTTTTCAGATAAAATAATTCAAAATAAAAAGTTTTTCAAAATTTCATCCGGACTTCCTGATCCTTAAAATATTTTTGTTTTCCCTAAAATGTACAACGGAGGATTAGGGCATGGTTAAAGATTTTATATTTTCCCCTAAATTTACCAAATGAATGTTCTTATTTTAGATCCATCTGAAGAGCAGCCTACGTGGAGCATCTTGTTAAAAAAAAGTTAGACTTTAGTAAAGGTTTCACAAATTAGGAAACAGGCTACTTCCTTATGAAGAATCAAAAAACAGGTAGACATAAATATCTGATTAGTTGTGTTGGGGCTTCACTCATATAGATATTAAACTACACATGCTTTTGGCACATCATCATCATCACATTATCATAAAATATCAGGATACTGCAAGAAAATGGGGATTTTCTAAAGAGAGAAGCACACTGACTGACTTGGAGGAAATGTCTTTGAAGGTTCTCCTGTCATCATTTTCACGTCCTTTTGATGGGCTACAACCTTTCAGGATAATTATGCACAAAGCCTCATTTTAATTGATTCAGCCTACGAATTTATTCTCGTAAATTTAAGAGTTTAGTCTGGAAATTTTAGATTTTTGTTTTTCTTTAACGTGGCCCTAATCCTCCGTCGTAAAAATGCAAACCATCAGAAGATTTTATGTGATTAATTTCTCTGGAGAGTGAGACTCTTGTGTTTGACCGCAGTTTGCAGGCATCGCTTTAATAGCGTCATCAACCTCCTTAAAAACGGAAAGAGAAGAAGAAGAAGAAGAAGAAGAATGCTCAGCTGAGATCTCTCCTCTGTGTCTCTCACAGAAACTTTCTTACACTAAAGATTTTTAAAATATGATGTTCTGAAAGTTTAAATGTATAACGTTTTCCTGTAACACATCCTGTTTGCTCTCCTCTGAGTGTGACTCGGAGAGTTTCTTCTTCTGCGCACACTTTGGGAGCATGTCGGTGAGGAGAGTGCGGCGGGACACTCGGACCTGTGAGCCGGCTGTGCGCGCTGGAGGAAGCCGCACATGGCGAACCAGAGACCGCGGAGGGTAACACTTTATTATGATAGTCTTTAAGAAGCATTCATTTGATTTATTGTCAGTGATTAAAAACAGCTGAGTCATACTAATATATTCATACTGTTATATTAAAAACAGATAAAGAGAGTTTTTCTTTATAATTCAGCTCCTTTAACACTCAAACAATTAGATAGTAAACGCTGCATTTTACTTTTATTATCGTCTTTATTTACACCTGCACATGATACTTTAATATTTATGCCACCTTATTGAGATTAAATATTTGTTTAGTACAAAAACATATATTATTCTGACTCTGATCGATGCAGGAAATAAAACGTTGTAAGCTGAAGATCACGTTAAATGATAAATATGTCACCGTGAGTTCTCTTGTGTTAATAAAGTTTTTATTTGAAGCTTTCTGTGGTTTTATTTTCGTGCGCATGTGACGTATTTAGTGTGATTTTTTTTTAATTACTTTGAGATGTTTTTGTGCCATATTTCATTTAATGTTCACAAGGAGAAATATTAAATAAAAACTGTAAAATATATTGTTTTTAAATGGGGTGGAAGGAGAAATCTCCGGACTTTATTTGAGTTTGAAAATTAAGTGTTATAAAAAATGTATGTATGTTGATTTAATTTGTTTTGTTTTTTGTGTATTTTCATTTTATTTCTGGATATTTTTTCGCGGTGATTTATTTGGTTATTTTAATCACTTGTTGCTTTCACGTTCCTGTCAGTAAATCAGAAAATTAAAATGTTGCATTAGAATGCTCTGAGACTTCATTATTTTTCTCTGAAGGTTGAGAAGATAAAATAAGGTAAGATTAGATTAGATAACTTTATTGTAGTAACGAAATACTGCTAGAGCCTGTAGATGGCTAACATCAGTAAATATATTTAAAAAAAGAAAAACACTAAAAACCAAACATAGAAAATATAGCCTACAAATCCCTATTAGCAAAAATAAAAACCCTGTACTTTCTCAAATAAAACAGCACCAGTGATTAAACCAAATTATTTTTCAATAATTTTCACCGGTTAGTGACGTCATCTCTAAACGTAACCTGCTGTGTTTTCCCCCCTCGCTCAGCCAATTTAATTCCTCTAATTGTTGCACTAAAGACACGCGCGCTAATTGGGACAAACGATCGCGCTCCGTGTTTGTGAAAGAGTTTGACATCACGAAAATAACCGAGAATTAACGAGGTGACCCGAGCCACTTCCTCCTGCATATTTCTCACACCGATATTTAGCTTTAAAAACAAATAACAAAAACACTCATTAAAGGCTGCAGCGGGCCTGACAGAGTTTGAAACCGAGCCTGAGAGGAGGAGAGGAGGAGGAGGAGAGGAGAGGAGGAGAGGAGGAGGAGGAGGAGGAGGAGGGAGAGTTTATTTACTCTCTTAACGGAGCGAGCTGCGGGGAGTTTATCCACGTTTTGGTCAACTTCCATGAAGGCAATCGGGCTTTTTATTGCAGCAAAATTTGGAAATAATAAACCGGATTGTTACGCTTGGAACCACAGCGGCACATGATCGAGCAGTATCCGCTTTTAAGTTCACCAAACTCGGCCTCACTTTGACACACACACGGGGGAGGGAGTGGTGCTCCAAAAACTCGCTTTTTTTTTTCTTCTTTTTTTGTCGGTGTTAAATTACAACAAATATTACTCCTCAACAACAACACATGTGGCACATCCTTCACATGACTCACTTTAAGTTCATTAAAATACATTTAAATCTATTTTGACTTCTTGTCTCTCTAATAAAAAGATCAAAAAACCTGCGCAGACACTAAAATGTGGCCTCATTTAGGCGCAGATAAAAGTGATTTATTACCCCGGAGGTTTGTCTCGTAGGGTTCCCTCACTGACCATGTCCACCAACATCACCATACCTCACTGACATCAAAGTGTTAATGGTAAATTAATGGCCGTTTTGAGGGGGGAGGCCGTCAGGGATGATGCATTGCCAAAACTCACTAAAGGATTCCTTCCATGCGCGCGCGGCTGCTTTCCGCGCGGAGCTCCATTCATGCTCTCAGCACGCGGACACACGCCAGGACGTAATGAAAACAAATGACTTTCAGCCTGTCATTATAGACTACATTTTGGGTGAGATTTTCCAGAGATGGAGCCTGATAGCGTGAGATTTTCACATCTGCACACACCGAGGAGGATTTAAAAAAATATATTTTTCTGACGACATTTTAAAGTAGTTTTGAACTTTTCCCCCCTCTCAGCTCCAGCGCTGCTTGTCGCTTCTGCTTTTTGCACTTACTCTCCTGCTGGGTCGTGTCGCTCCCGCTGGTCAACCCCGGGGACTCCAGCATATTCCTCCCCGCCTCCCCGACGCTCTCGTCCGCCTGGCTGCCCACCATTTCCGCGGCCTCCTCCAGATCCAACAGGTGGCTGACCGAGAAGTTCTTTTTGGCTTGCAGGTTGTCCAGGTTCGACGTGATCGGACTCTCCAGGCGGTTTGATAGAGACGCTTGCCTGTCCATTACATGTGCATAGCTAGAAGTCATGACGCAAGAGGGGAACAGCGGGAGAAACGGAGCGGCGACAAGAAGGTGGAGAAGAAGAAGAAAAAACAAGACACGCGAGCAGAGGGGATCCTCCGTGCATAGGACGCAGCAGCAGCAGCAGCAGCGCCTCCAGGAGCCACAGAGAGACCCGGGTTAGCCGAGCAGAGGGCGGGTGTGTTCACATCCAGATCAGGAAAACTTCAGCAAACTTGTTCTCCTCGCCTACTTTTCCACATCAAAACTTAGTACAGCCAATCCATCCAGCGGCGGCGCGCAAAACCAGATGTAGCTTCAGTATTTCAGCTCGTCCTGCTGTTTGAGCGCGAGAGAAGTCCTCTGAGAAGAAGGAGAAGAAGAAGGAGAAGGAGAAGGAGAAGCTCTCTTCCCAGCCTGACTGACTCACATCTGAGCAGGAAGAGCTGCTGCAGCTGGGGATGAGGATGATGATGATGACGACCAGATGCGCAGAGGAGCTCCGTGTGCGCGCAAAGGCAGTAACTGCCGCACCTCCAGGCTACACACCCTGTAGTCTCTCTCTCTCTCTCTCTCTATTTCGAGAGAGAGAGAGCCCCATAATTACGTGGCAATGCCTTCATGTTGTGTGTGACGTTTCACAGGCCCCCACCTCCCCACCCCCCCCCTCCCTCTCAGAAACATCCCCATCAGCACCGTCAACACCCGGGTTTGGCCTGTTTTTGTTGCCCTTGTTGGCAGACCTCACAGGCTAATGATGTGTGTGTGTGTGTGTGTGTGTGTGTGTGTGTGTGTGTGTGTGTGTGTGCGTGTCTTCAGGGGCACACACCGCTGTTATCGCTGTGTGTGTGTGTGTGTGTGTGTGTGTGTGTGTGTGTGTGTGTGTGTGTTGATAAAACTCTGAGTGTCCTGCGGTGTGCCACCAGTTAAATCAACCATAAACCAGGATCATCAAGTTTTCCTCTGATCTGCCCACATGAGCAGAATTTGAGTTTTTTCATGAAGAACAAACATATTTAAAAGTGATTAAATTTGTTATCTCGGCTTCATTGGTGAAATAATAAAACATTAAAGAAGTGAATGTAGCCTGCAGGCCTGAAGAGAGAAACCAATGTCTTAAACCTGCGATCTTTGTAAAGACCAGCAGGGGGCGATTCCAGCGGAAGAAAAACATAATCTTGATTGTTTACAAGTCTGTGATCAAATGTGACTACATGTCAGTCACCCTTAGTAAACATTTTCTTAATAAGTTTATGGTCTCATTCTGTACTTCATAGTCTTCTTCTTCAACACAGCATGATGTTCATTTTTGTAAATGATGGTCCTAGAGTCAAAAGGACGTTTTGAAGAGGAACTACCCACTCCTGAGCTCTAGTCTGCATTGGGTACTAAAGGCATATCTACAGTAACTTTAAATTACAGATGCACAGTACTAACCAAGCTTCGGCCAACCTTAGCTGATATTCTCCAAAAGACGTCAAGATGGCGACGGACATAAGTCTGGCCAAACTCAGGGCCTCAAACGATCCTACAAAAATCTACAAACCAACGAGTGACATCACAGTGGCTACGTCCACATTTTTATATCCAGTTTGTAGTTGCAACTGATAAATCACAAAGTTCAGCGTCAAGTGGAATTAAACTAATTGTAAGAAGAATGAATCCTAGACCTACATTCATGGACAGAAACATGTTTCAAACAAGCAGCAACCTCTGGTGTTGAAAACTGAAGCCGATGCGGAGGTGCGAAAACATGCAGTTCCTCGAGTGTCCACTAGAGGCTGGCTGCAGAAGCACAGGAAGTCACATACACACCCATTCTAAAAAGCCTGTTTTTACAGCAGAGATGAACATGTTTACAGCCTGGTTCAAAAAACCAAATAGGTGTGATTAGCTCATGTCTGGATGGACACACACTGTACGGGGGGTGAATGTTTTGATGACTCATCAGTTTTGATTTGATGAAGGATAAGAGTTATTCACAATAAGGCGTGTAGCTGACCTGATTGACAGGTGGGCGCGGTGTAACGGTTTGTCAGGAGGTTTAAAACCCGCCTCAGCTCCAGCTCTCAGCCTGTCGTTAGGTTGACTGAAAGTTAGACTGAGACAACGTTTCATACAGGTGTCGTCTATTAATATTTACAGTCTATGATTCCATATTGATGCTGTTTGGCTATCGTTGCACAGAAGTTTATGTACGTTTGTTTAAGTCGTACTCTTGATTCAAATAAGCAGCTGCAGATCTTACAAGTCAGCCGTCGCACCTCAAAGTTTCATGAAACACCTCAATACTTACCTGTCATTCACAGGTACAGACTGAGCCAATCAGAGCTGGAGGGAAGTTAGACTGAGCCAATCAGAGCTGGAGGGAAGTTAGACTGAGCCAATCATAGCTGGAGGGAAGTTAGACTCAGCCAATCAGAGCTGGAGGAGAGTTAGACTGAGCCAATCATAGCTGGAGGGAAGTTAGACTGAGCCAATCAGAGCTGGAGGAGAGTTAGACTCAGCCAATCAGAGCTGGAGGGAAGTTAGACTCAGCCAATCAGAGCTGGAGGAGAGTTAGACTCAGCCAATCAGAGCTGGAGGAGAGTTAGACTCAGCCAATCAGAGCTGGAGGAGAGTTAGACTCAGCCAATCAGAGCTGGAGGAGAGTCTGGACTGTCTGGAAAAGTCCCACAACTCAAATCGGATACTTCGGGGTATTTTCATGCTCTAATTTAAAAAAGAGAAAGACAGAAAGGAGAATTATTCTTTAACCTAACTGTCTCAACTCTAACATAGGAAGGCCTAGAGAGGAAATCCATGCAAAATGTAAACCTAACATGAGGTATTTTTCAGATATATGTTAAACCTCATCAGGTGTCAAAAGAAACGCGTCTAAAAAGTTAGAATCACTGTGTGGTGAAACTACAACAATCAAAACTTACGAGTGGTGTAAAAACAAATTCCTAATCCTCATATTTTATAAAGTGAATCCACAGAGAATCCAGTGACTCCAGCTGAAAGGTTCATTTTCTGCAGAAGGGGAAAGTGCTGAAAGTGTTGCCGGGTTACTTTCCCCCTCAGTGTTTTAACTAGAGGACTTGGAGGTTTTGGAGGAGTTGGATGTTTGAGGTGATCTGGGGGGAGGGTTTTCCCTTTTTTTTTTTTTAAGAACGGGGGGGTTTCATGTGCTCAGATGGCAGCAGTGGACTCTGGGCTCCGAGCTGCCATAGACATCCCGTAGCTTCCAGCCCCCCTGATCTGGGAAAAGAACACTTGATGCCATCAAAGGGACGCCGATTGAATCCAGATGTGGCTCTCTCGTTCTTTCCATGTATTTAATGAAGGCGCAGGGATAGAGTAGACTTTTTTCATCATTAGTTTTCCCTCCAGATTCTCTTTTTCCTGCCTACAAGTCCACTCTGGTGCCAGCTAGAAGGAGAGAAAAAAAAGGCCTCCCCATGTCTCCTACCCCCACCCCCCCTCCACCCCCCTCCTCTGCTTTGTTCAGACTCCATGTGAAAGCGGCCCGTTTGCTCCGCCACTGCAGTTTGTCTGTGTCGAATGGAAACGTCCAAACATCTCAGAGAGGGGAAAATGCCATCCTGCAGAGCTGACGATATCGGGGTCGAGGCCGAGGAGGAGGCTGGAGACAGAATCAGGCACCGTGCAGAGGATAGATGCAAATCCAGAAACAAGCGACGAGTTGTTTTTGTGTCGTTTCAATTTGTTCAAATAAAGAAGTGGCAGCTTTTTAAACTCAATAACAGAGAGGTGATATAAAAGATCATTAATATGTTCAGGTCAGGTTTGTAAAGCATACGTGCAAACCTGCTGGAACTACTCGTCTGTGTTTGCAGGACTTAGACAGAAACTAAATGTGTGTCAGGAATAAAAAAGTTTAAGATGCGTTCAGAGCAATCAGAGCGTCGCTGGTCTGCATATGATCATGTCTGACAGCCTGTCAGTGCACAGACTTCACCAAAAGTTAAAAATAATCCTGAATGTTGTCCTTCTGGACGGCAGGCAGCGCGAGGAGGAAACTAACCTGACAACCAGATTTTGCAGATTTGTCCGTTGGAACAGAAATGGATTCAAACAGAAAAACTGGCTCTGCTCAAAATGACGCACCGACCATGTCTGCTGAGCTCACACTCATTAAATATGCTACCTGTCCTCTTGGGCCAATCAGAGATCTCACCTCACCTCCCCCCCTGAGTGAACGAGAATCAAGCAGCATGATTAAAAAAAAAAGGGAAAAATACCAAACTTCAGTGAATTAGTAGTAGTCAGGGTGGCTTAGAAACATTATGAGGACAGGCCGGACAAAAGGACTACATTTTTTCCACATCACCATAGCTTTCAATTTTGGGGGAGGAGCCACTTCATCAAGATGGCAGTTCCAAGATGTCAAATCGCTAAGAGCCAATATGTCTTCCAAGCCACTTAGAAAGTCAATCTTGGTGTCAATATAAACATTTTCTGGGTCAAGGAATGCATTAAAACACCACTCGATGATTATTTGTACATATGTTAATTTTGACAACATCATTGTGTCATTATTCTTCTCAAATCTGGTCCTAAGGCGCCTGACTATAGTAACTATGCATGAATGTTTTGCATAGTTTCTTTTGTATATTGTTCCTGGTTTTGTATCACATGACCTGTCAGGTGACCTCTGGGGTTCATATGGAGGTGTGTCTCTTCATGTGTTCATGTCTGATGAAGGGCGAGGGCCCCAAACGTTACATGTGCTGATTTTTCCATTTGATGTCATTTAATTGGAGCAGCTTCGTATGTTTCTGCCTTAGGATGTGCATGCTGGTTGATATTTTAGCTGTTTTGTCATTGAAAATGGAAGTTAAAGTCAAGTTTTATTCTCACTCTTCAAGTTTTTAGTCAGTTTGAACTTTTACGCTGCTCGCTGCTGAAGAGCTGAACGTCAGGGTATCACTTTCAGTGCACTCATGCATAAAGATCTTTAAAGTCATTCTGAAAGAGTATCTGAATGTGTTTTTTTTAGGTGTGATCATGGATGATAATAAAGCTTGTGTTTACAGGAAGGTGTCAAAGAAAATATCTTTGATTTGAACAAAGCAAAGTTTCTGTTGGATTATAAAAAACTGAGGATTTTCTATGTTCACTTGTTTTATGATCTTAGTAATTGTGTTGAAGTGTGGGGTAACACATTTCAAACATGAATGCATTATTTATCTGACAGAAGAGAGCGGGAAGAAACGCTTTCATAAAGTGGAGTGTAGAGAGAGCAGCTACAGGTACAAGTGAAAGATTGAGTCACAGACAGTCAGAGGTATGTTCAGAGTAAAGTATGACCAAACAGTCTGCAGAAGAGGTTTGTTTTTACTTCAGAGGATGAAGAGCAGAGGAGAAGATCAGTTTGCACGGACGACTTTAAGACAAGATGTGTATTTCTGTTTTAGGAAGAGCTGTGTGTGTGTGAAGATATTTCACTTTTAGAAAATGAACAAGGAGAGAATTATTAGACTTCC